TAGTAGGGTAAACTACACATAAGACAAAACGTATGATTTTTTTTTCCAGAGCTGAAGATTAAACCCAGAGCTTCAGAGCACTCCAGCTAAGCTATTTCCTGCAACAGTGCAGAAAATACAGTGCTCTCTGTGTGACAGTGCTCTCTCTCTGTGTGACACGTCTCCAGGGCCTTCAGGTCTTGCACAACTGAGATTCTTCCCCATGAGCGGTGCTCCTCCCGGCCCCCGCTCGGCCCCCGCTCGGCCCCTGCTCATCTTCTCTCCGCTCTCGGTGTCTGTGGCTTTGGGCCCTGTGGCTTCCTCATGCGAGTGGAATCCCACGATAGTTATCTGTGAGGCTTACCTAATCTACAGTGATGTCTCCCTTTCAACAGGCCCTTTACCACAGTCCTCAAAGTCCACGTTTTGCTCTTGGCCCATCCATTACGTGCCGGCTTCTCCTTTGGGCCACTGTGAACGTGGTGTGCAAACGGTCTCTGGAGAATCTCTTTCCATTCTTTCGTTTTAGACGTATTTATTCTATTTATCCTATGCATGTATTCTATTCTTAATGTGTGTACCTTTCTGCTTGTGTGTATGTTTCGTACCACGAATGTGCCTGATGCCAGAGGAGGCCAGAAGAGGGCATCAAATCTCCTAAAACCGGAGTTACAGATGGTTGTGAGCCACCGCGTGTGTACTGGGATCTGAACCCAGGTCCTCTGCAAGAGCAGCAAGTGCTCTTAACCGCTGAGCCTCCTCTCCATCCTTCCCTACTTTTAATTCTTTTGGGAATCCACTGGGATGGGATCACGGAGTCACAGTCATAACTTTGTTGTTGTTTAAAGATAGGGTTTTACTCTGCAGCTGGACTGGCCTTGAACACTCCTACCCCAGCCTTTCGGGATGCTGAGATTAAGGGCGTGTGCCGCCAACACTGGCCCCTGAGGCATTTTTACAAATACCAATCTCGTGTGTAAGGTGTGTAGCCATGAGGTGTGTAAGGTGGGAAAGGAGGCGCTGGCACCGTTGTGGCGTGTGGAGGGCAGCTTTGCTCAGCGGATTCCTGCCCTCGTCCAGGGTCCATTGAACTCAGGCTGTCAGGCTTGCCGGGGAAGCGCTTTACCCACTCAGCCATCTTTTCGACCACAAGAAGTTATTATTTTTAAATTTAATCTCTAAAGGGAACAAGAGCCACAGCTGTCTCCCTGAACCTCAGAAATGACAGAGACGTTTGCGGTGGAGGGAAAAATAAAGTCCAACCCCCGTTTCCCAGAATGGGGCCCGCTGACTGGTGCTGGCGGCCCCTTCCTGGGAGAGGCACCTGGCATGCTGAGCAGGCTGTGGCTTCGTCCTCTTCCAGTTACGGAGGGACAGGTGCAAGGAGGCCCCTGGGCCGGGTGAGGGTGCAGTGCCCGGCGCTCATCTAGGCACCACCGCACAGAGAAGGGGGGGAAAAACTCTCTGCACTCTGACCCACTTCCCCAGGCTCAGAATCATAGGTTTCACTTTGGGGTTTCAGCTCTGCACTTCCCTAAGGCGTTTGCTGGGCGTCGCAAAAGCCATGTGCCTGGCCCCCTCAACTCAAATACCCAACTGATGTTTTACCACCATTACAGTATGCTGATTAACCAAAGGACATTCTGAAAAAAAAAAAGCAGACGGCAGGTGACAGCTAAGTGTGAAAACACAGCAGAGCTCTGAGGGGAGAGTCAGGGACGCTGAGGGGATTGGCTGGGAAAGATGGTGGTCAGGAAGTCATTGGTTAGTATGAGCACACACCTCATCATCCGTTCTCAGCACCATGGAAAGTGTTCTCTATGCCTCTAAATTTGGTGGCTTCAAAAAATGTATCTTTTTAATTATGCATATGTGTGTGGGTCTGTGTGTGTGTGTGTGTGTGTGTGCATGCTGAGCCTTAGCATGGGTGCTGGGAACAGAAATCAAGTCCTCTGTGCAAGAACACCATAAAGACATCAACTGCTGAGCCATCTTTCTAGCCCCTAAACCTGGTGGTTTTTAAAATCCCCTAAAAGCAGGCTGCAGAGATGGCTCGATGGTTAGGAGCACTGGCTGCTCTTCCAGAAGTCCTGAGTTCAATTCCCAGCAACCACATGGTGGCTCACAGCCACCTATACTGGGATCTGATGCCCTCTTCCGGCCTGCAGGTGCACATGCAGCCAGAGCACTTGTACGTAAAATAAATAAATCTTTAAAAAAAAAAAAATCACCTAAAAGCAAGTAGTCTCAAGCGAAAGCTTACATGTCACGTAGTTGTTTATTTTTGCACTAGTGGAGAACAGACTGGAGACCTCATTCATGCTAAGCAAGCATTTCATCTCTGAACCACATCCCAGTTTCACTTGCCATTCATGAGGCTCTGGGTTTCATTCCAAAATCTTCAAAAAGAACTTGCTGGAGTTTGTTTTGAGAGACAGTGTTGTTTGTTTGAAATCCTGGCAGTGGTCGCATATGACTCTGATCCCAATGCTCAGGAGGCAGAAGCAGGAGGATTTCTGAGTTTGAGGTTAACCTGGTCTCACTATGTAGTTCTGGCTGGCCTGGAGCTCTACATTGACCAGGGTGGCCTTGAACTCACAGAGATCTGGGTACCTCTGCTTCCAAGGATTAAAGAGTAATCTTAAATCTTCTGCTTTGCATAAACAGTGGCCAGGAAGGATGGAGAGATGGCTCAGTGGTTAGGAGCCCTTGCTGCTCTTGCAGAGGACCCAGGATGGGTTCCTAGCAACTACATGGTGTCTCACGATTGCCTGTAACTCCAGTTCCAGGGGGCCTGGTGCCCTCTTTTGACCTCTGTAGGCACCAGGCCTACACAGGATGCAAGACATACATGCCAGCCAGACACTTGTACACATAAAGTAAAATAAGTAAATTTAAAAATAATTTTATTTTTAACTTATTTCTATTTCATGTGCATTGGTGTTTTGCTCACGTGTGTGTGTCTGTGTGAGGATGTCAGATCGCTTGGAACGAGTCACAGACTGTTGTGAGCTGCCACCTGAGTGCTGGGAATTGAACCTGGGTCCTCTGGAAGGGAAGCCAGTGCTCATAACCACTGGGCCATCTCTCCAGCTCCTAATTTTTATTTTTATTATTTTTTTTTAAGTAAAGTGGGAAGCTGAATGTGGTGGTACATGCCTGTAATCCTAGAATTTGGAAGACTGAAGCAGGAGAATCACGAACTTTTGACCAGCCTGAGTTACAAAGCAATTTTCAAAAATAATAAAATAATTTAATCCCAGCTGGGTGACAAGCTCTGAGTTTGAGGCCAGCCTGGTCTATAAAGCGAGTCCAGGACAGCCAAGCCTACACAGAGAAACCCTGTCACGCATGCACACGCACACACACGCCACACACAAAGACTCTAAAAGCAAAAAGATAAGCAATCAGGAGTCTGTCGTTCTTAGTTTCATCATCTCCTAAGTATCCCTGAGTGAGGGAGCCTCCCTTCCTTTCTGCCTTCTTTGTTTTACCTTCCTCCCCTCCTCTCTTTTTCTCTCCTTTATACTCCCCCCCCCCCCCTTCTCAATCTCCCCACCTCTCTTCCTCCACCCTTCCTTCTTGCTTCTCTCAGCTAACGCTGTGCTGATGGAGGGCTTTCTCATAGTCTCTTCCGTGTCCCACAATCCTTGTTGAGGAGCTGCTCATAGTATCTGTTAATATGAAAATACTCAACCCATTATGGGGAACTCTAGAAAACGGGTAAGAGACAGAAGGTGGCCTTTCACCACCAGGGTTCCCAGGAGCTGCAAGCACTTCTCTTTTCCCACTTACACATTTTTTTTTTCAGCCACAAGGAAGTCAGCTTCCATTCCATCTTATTTTCTAAAACAGGAGGCAGAGCGCTAGGAGAAATTGCGTTTCATTTTGTTTTTGAGAGAGGGCTTCGTGTTGTCCATGCTGGCCTTTGTGATACAGAGATGTCTTGAACTCCTGATCCTCCCAGGTGCTGGGATCACAGCCTGCGCTGTGCCCGGCCCAAGGAGGCGTTTTTTTTTTTACATCCAGAGGACATGGCTGTCCTAGCTAGGTAGTCGGAGGTGGGTAGCCAGCTCTGTATCAGGACGGCAAGGGAATCAGGAGTTCAGCTACCCAATGAGTTTGAGGGCAGTCTGGGCTTCGTGAAATCCTGCCTCAGAAGCCCCAAACAAGGCAGAGAAAATGCAGCTCACTCGGTAGAGTGCTCACTTTAAATGCATGAAGCCCTGGGTTCCAACCTCAACGCCTAATGAAGTGAGTGTCTTTGGCCACACACACTTTAGTGCTGGAGGCAGGTCATTCTCAGCTACACAGTAAGTTTGAGTGCAATTTGTGCTACAGGACACCCTCCCCCCCCTACTCACCAGTCTTCTGAGTATCAAATTTCGAAGTCTTGATTTTAGAACTGTACCCCGTGGAGCCAGAGTAAGGGAAGGTAGAGGAATTGTCCCGGCTGTTCTTTTGCCGCTTTGACCCAAGCTCCAATTGCGTGGGAACTCCAGTTGAGAAAAAAAAAACATCCATCAGATTGCCTGTAGGCAAGTCCAGAATGCATTTTCACCCTTATGATTGCCATGGGTGGATCTGGCCCACAGGGTTTGGGGGGAGGGGGGCCCTGACTTGTGTAAGAAATCAAGCTGAGCAAACCGGTGAGCTGTGTGTGTGTGTGTGTGTGTGTGTGTGTGTGTGTAATGGCTTCTGTCCCAGTCCCAGTCCCTGTATCTGTGTTTGTCTCGAGTTCCTGCTCCGTGATGGAGTGTAGTCCCAGAGTTGTAAGACGAAATTAAAGCCTTCCCTCCCCAAGTTGCTTTTGATCATGGTGTTTTATCATGAAACCCTAAGAAATGCTTCAATTTTAGAGCAGGTTGGGGGGAGGGTAGCCTCATCCAAGAGTTGGGGTGTCGGTGAATACAGCCAGGCTCTGGCCGACTGGACTCGAGGGGCGTGGTCTCAGTGGGCGTGGCTTTCCGGCTCTGCTTGCTGCAAGAGGCAGGCTGTTCTGAGCAGCTCTAGTCGGGACTATGGAGCCGGTACGATTGCAGGACTTCGTGAGAGGCCTGGACCCTGCCTCCCTTCCGCGAGTGCTGCGGGTCTGCTCCGGAGTCTACCTGGAGGGTGAGCAGGCCCCGGGGGGGCGGGGGAAGCAGCCAGGCATGGTGGCTCGTGCCGTAATCCCAACCCTGGGGAGCTGATGCAGGAGGATTGAGGCTAGCCTGGTTTACCCAGCGATTCCAGGTCAGTCTGGGATACCGAGGGAGACCCCGAGGAATCAGGGGTTTGAATTCGGACGCTGCTCCTTGCCCGGAGCACCAAAAGCCACCTCCCTCCACCTCAGCTTCTTTCCCATGGGTGATGAGAAGTTGGCGAGATTAGCACAGAGACGTTTTCTCATCTGAGGTTCCTAGGTGATTCTAACAGAAATTGGCGGGAGCGAGGCAAGGGCTACCTGAACCGCCTAGGAAATCCCGTCTCAAGCAACCAGAACAGTTATGAGAGTGAGCGGGTAAAGAAGAAATGGAGATCCCGAGTAAATGCTCCCTGAGTGCTGGAATTACAGGCGTTAGCCACCAAGCCCGGCTTTTTTTTTTTTTTTTTTTTTTTTCCCCAGAGAGAAAGGCTCTTGTTTTGTAACCTAGGCTGGCCTCAAACGTGAAGCGATTCTTGTGCCTCTGCCTGAAATTGCCATACCTGGCTCACTGTTGCTTCGTACCTGGCTCACTGTTGCTTCGTTTTCTTTCTTTCTTTCTTTCTCTCTCCTGACCCTTTCCCCCCTTTTTCATCTTCTCTCCCTTTCTCCGGGGATCCAACCCAGGGCCCTGAGGAGCTCCAGCCTCTGAGAGACAGCCCAAGTTCATTATTTCACCACCAGATCAGCCTCCCACTGCGCTCTGTGCTCCTCGCTTTCCCTTCTCCCTGGCTCCCTGCTGCATGGACTTGGGTAAGGGAGGTAGGAGAAGGGATGGAGTGGATCTGTGAAGGGAAGAACCTTAGTCCCCAGTGAAAAGAGGGGGGCAGAGGAGAGAGTGGAGGGAGATCCTGGGGTGCAGGGCTTCTTCCTCAGAGAGCAAGCTTCTCAGGGGTGCCTGCCTCATCCTGCTCCCTGGAGTGAGGGGACCTGGCTGCCTACGCCACAGCAGCTGCCAGCGAAGTGTTTTGATGGCCAAATGGATTCTAGACTAAGGAGGGTCCCACGGGCCCCTTGGAAGCAGGGCCTGGCTCCGTTTGCTCTTCCTCCAGCCCAGAACATCCTCTCAGCGTCTCTTGCTCACCGCTGTCACAATACCCGAGTTTCCTCATTTGCTCTGACCTGCAGTGAAGTGGCAGATGTTTGGGGTGACGTGACTAGAGACTAACTAACGTCACAGGGTGCCAGTATGCAAATGAGGTTACCTGGAGGGTAGATGTGTAGGGCAGGGTGTAATGGAGTGACTTGACCCCTGCTGAAGATGGAACCTGGACCTTCATACATCCTAGACCAGCCCTCTAGAACTTAGCTGACATCCTTAGTCTGTTTTTCCTGTGCAGCCTAGACTTCTCTGGACTAAACGTCCTAAATGGTATGGTCACAGATGTGTGCCGCCACAACTGGCCTTCTGAACTTTGTTTACATTTCTTTGTTTTTTGTGTGTGGTGGGGAGCAAGCAGGGGCCACCATATGCACGTGAAGGTCAGAGGACTTTTAGGAATCAGTTGGGGATTAAAGGGTCTTTATCTTGAAGGCCCTTTTTCGGTATTTTTGAGGCAGGGTTTCAGGAAGCCCCAGACTGGTCTGGAACGCCCTGTTTAGCCAAGGAGAACCCCGAGTTCCCGCTCTTCCTCTTTGCTAATCCTTGGGAGCGCTGACAACACCCCTCTGAGCTGTCACTTTTAGGAAAGAGAAACCGCTGTCGCTATTTATTTGCTGACTTGAAAGTGCTGGCCCTGGGTCCCGGAAAGCACAGACACGTGTCTTCAGGGCAGTGAAGCATCCATCACCCTTAGCCCCGGGCCAGGTATATATAACTCCGCGGCCAGCAAGCTCCTCTGCCAGAAGTTCCGCAACTGTGTACACTTTGGTCAGAGTGAGGTTTACACCAGTTTCTCACGGCCTGCCCGGAGGCCCTACTACAGCTCTCCCCGGGGGAGGGGCTCCTGGTGGCTGCCGTTTCCCAGCCTCTGCCCGCTGCTTTCGGACTCTGTGCACACTGCACCGGGAGATTTTATTTTTTTCTGTTTCTCTCCCCATGTTCTCCAAGGTTTCAGCACTTCGCGTCAGGCGAGTGGGCTGCTGAACTTGGGAGTTGGTGCTCAGACTCCAAACCTCCCCAACTTCTAAACAACTCCCTGGGCTGGGGGGCGGAGTGGGCGGGGTGAGCTGGCTGGTGGGCGACTGGGTGGGGGGGCGTGATTGCCGCCAATCCCAGCAGCCTGAATTCAATCTCTGGCTCCCCACCCCACCCCCCGCCCGTGGTGGAAGGAAAAGAACTGACTCTCAAAAGTTTCCTGACTTCTACACCCGTGCTGTGGAATGCACTCAACATAAACATGATTTCCAAAAAAAAAAAAAAAAAAAAAAAAGTGTTGTTGAGAGCGCACCCGGGCTGGGCTGGGGACGTTGCTCAAGTGGAGCAGCAGGGCGCTCACCTAGTACGCAGGAACCCTGGATTTTGACTCCTAGCAGGGCAAAGAACTTGGCAGGGTGGCATACACCTGTCATCTTAGCACTCAGGAGGTAGAAGCAGGAGGGTCAGCGGTTCAAGGTCATCCTCAGTAAAAAAAAAAAAAAAAAAAAAAAGAGAGAGTTCCAGACCAACCTGAACTACACAGGAGAACCTGTTGCGATAAGAGAGAGAGAGAGAGAGAGAGAGAGAGAGAGAGAGAGAAAGAAGAAAGCAGACATGCAGCTTGCTTGTCTGAAGTAGAAAGCAGGGTGTCAGAAGAGCTAGGCACGCCCCTGGCCCTCCCACCCACCACCCACCACCCACCACCCACCGCAGCCTGATTTTGTAGCTAACAGGGGAGCTGGATCCATGGGCAGAACACACTGGCAGAGGCTGCAGAGATGTTGGAATGCGCCAGCCCTGACTGTATTCGCTCTAAGAGACTTGGGGGAAAGGGAAGAGTGGGCGCCGTGGCTGCCTCCCATGGTCGGTGGAGACACCGGACTCTGTCTGAGGATGGCTGGCTGAGCCAGCTGCCCTTTAGCAGGGCAAGTCAAGGAAGAAGCCTGAGGCTGCAGCTGGGGGGGAGGGGGTTCAGTCCCCAGTACTTCAAAAGAGAGAAAGGCACTCAAGGTCTCAGGAGCAGTGAGCAGAGTTTGTGGGGAACCCAGGCCTTTGCCGAAAGGAGAAACTGAGTCTGTGTCTCCACAGGTTCCATCTATGAGCTCTTTGGAAATGAGTGCTGCCTCTCCACAGGGGACCTGATCAAGGTCACACATGTCCACCTCCAGAAGGTGCTGTGTGAGAACCCGGAGACGGGTCAGACCTTGGAGCTCGGCCTCAACTTCACAGGTAAGGCGTGCACACCTGCCCCCCCCTCCCCCGTGTATCCCGTAGGTCTATCTTGAGCAACTTGTGGGGGCCTTGCCACTCCCAGCGTCACTTCTGCCCCTCTGGCCCTGCATATAAGGGTGACAGATCTACTTTCATGTAGCCGAAAGGCCCAGGGCACATTCAGAGTATGTCTTTAAGGATGCCCCGATCCTGCCTTCTCCCTGCCCTCTCCTGATCGCAGCTGCCTCCGAGTCTTCAGGTTCTGGACTCTGTGTTTGCTCACATATTCATCTATCACATGCCACCTGTGTGTGCCAGGCCCTATGGGGAGCCGAGTGAGTGTGCGGACTCAGGATGAGCTAGGCCCTCCTGGAGAGGCAGTGAGAGAAGGCAAGGGTCCGTGAAGCAGGCACTAGCTCAGGATGGAGCGGCCTGCCCACCAGGGACTGCAGAGCCGCAAGCATGAGGGGGTCCCAGGCTAAGGAAGTGTGGCGCGTGCCCATTTGGTGCCTAAGAACTCCCAAGGGAAATAGGTGTGTTGGCACGTGCCTGGATTCTAGCACAGGAGAGGTAGGGGCTGAAGAGCGGGCCAGCCTTAGTTACATAGGAAGTCAGTCTAGTGAGACACTGTCTCTGAAAGTGGGGGAGATTAAAGATGTAGCTCAGTTGGTTCCGTGTTTCCTGGTGTCCACGAGGTCCTGGGCCCCTTCCCCAGCACCGCATAAACCAGCTGTGGTGGTGGCACATGCTTGTGATCCTAGAAGTTAGGTGGTGGGAGCAGGAGGAGCAGGAGGAGGTCTCATGCCCTGGAGATGTCAGCAGCAGATGCTTGCTGCCAAGCCTGGCGATCTGAGTTCCAAGTCCTGGCACTTCCGTGGTAGGTGACTCCTACAAGCGGTGCCTCCACACACGTGCCATAGCATGCACAGGCATACACACACTAAATAAATGGGATTTTTTTTTTTTTTTGAGACAAGGTATTGCTGGATAGCCTTGGTTGATCACCGTGTAAACCAGGCTGGCCCCAGACTCACAGTCATCTGCCTCCTGAGTACTGGGACTAGAAGTATATACCACTACGCCTGGCTTAAATGTGATTTTTTTAAAAATATTTAAAAATTATTATTATTTATTATGTATACAGTGTTCTGCCTGCATGTTAGAAGAGGGCACCAGATCTCACTATAGAAGGTTGTGAGCCACCATGTGGTTGCTGGAAATTGAACTCAGGACCTCTGGAAGAGCAGCCATCCACTTCAAGCCAGTGCTCTTAACTGCTGAGCCATCTCTCCAGCCCCTAAATTTAAAGATCTCTTTGGAGGGCTGGAGAGATGGCTTAGTGGTTAAGAACACTGGCTGTTCTTCCAGAGGACCCTCGTTCAATTCCCAGCCCCCACATGGCGGCTCACAACTGTCTGTACCTCCAGTTGCTGGGGATTCAACACCCTCACACAGACGTACATGAAAGCAAAACACCAATGCACATGAAATAAAAAAATATAAATTCCAAAAATCTCTTTGGATTTCAGTGTCAGCCTGAGATCTGTGAGAACCTGTCTCAAAAAACAAGCAAGCAAGCAAGCCACGCAGAAAATATAAACCCAAGGGATTTGTTTTTTTTGCAAAAGAGGGGGCGTGTTGTTGTGTGTGGCTGGGAGCAGCCTAGGTGGAAAGCCCGATCTGCTGGCCTCAGCTTCCTCTGTTTTGAGCCCTCGGTCTCGATGTGAGGTTTGAAGAGGTAGCATGTATGTACAGAGTGGAGAAGGGGCTGGCACAGAGCAGGCGCGCTTCGAACACACACAGACACATACATACGCACACACGTGTGATGCCTGCAGCGGGCGGTGGGAGGCAAGAAGTTGGTCCTCCGGAGGCTGGACTGCCTCAAGTTTCTCTTGTGAAAGTGTTGAGGGGCCTGGGGCTTTTCAGATATTCAAATGAGGCGTTTCCTCCTGTGTTTTGAGGGCGAATGATTTTCTACAGAAGATTTTTCTTCGAACTCTGAAATACCTGCAAGTAGATCCAACAACTACACACACATACGCATACATACCTGTGCAGGCATGTCTACCCCGGGCGTTTTGGCAGTAGGCTGGTGGTGTGGCACCTCTCTCCATCCACCCTGCCCCCTAGAGAACATTTTATCGGTCACCATTCAAAGTCAGGGGCCTTAATTTCCATACGGTGCTGTTGTCCAACCCACACTTTGTTTATATCCAAAGTCCACCAGCCGTCCTGCAGAGGCCACCGGCGAAGCGCCCCCTGCACCCCTATCGCAAGCTCAGATAAGAGTCCTGTTCTGCTTTCTTGTCCTTAGTCTGTTTCAGGCTGGAATGTGGCCTTAGGTTTTCTTTGTCTTTGAATGGACTTTATTATTATTGTTGTTGTTGTTATTGTTTTGAGACAGAGTGTCTCTGTGTAGCCTTGGTTATCCTGGACTTGATTTGTAGACGAGGCAGGCCTCAAACTCAGAATAATTCACCTGCTTCTGCCTCCTTGAGTGCTGGGATTACAGGTGTGCGCCACCATGCCCTGCGGTGGTGGAGGATTTTTTTTTTAAGAATACAGATCAATACAGATCAACACTTTTTTTTTTTTTTTCCTAGCACTAGGGTCTAGCTCAGGGCCTCTCACATGCTAAGCAAACAGTCTATCATGGAAATATATATATATATATATATCCCTAGTCCCAGACTAGTATTGCTGGAGGATGTCCTTTAGTCCAGGCTTTGTGGTATTTCCATGATTAGATTCGGGTCGTGACTTTTGGGACAAGAAACCATCGTTTCCAGAAGTTGGGCAATTGGGCCAGCCTGGAGGCTACAGGAATGGCAGGAGGGCAGTCTGTTAGTCCTGGCAGACCCACTGAGGGGTGGGTGTCAGAGGGCACCTGGGCCAGCAGCTCCTGGGGCTTTAATTTGGGAGAAAGAGACAATGGTGCTGCCTCAAGACAGAGACAGGCTTTGCAGGGCCAGAGCAGAGCCTGGCTCAGCAAAGGCTGGACCCCTGCATTCTTCCTCCTTCTGTGGAATCCCACAGGTCTCTTCAGCCCACTCACCAGCCTGCATAGCTACAGAACCCTGGAGGATCTCATCTCTGCCATGCCCCAGCCTACACAGTGGCCCATTTTCTTCAGGTCAACTCGAAGAATTGTCACAGAGGCCTGTGTCGTGAGGGAGGACGAGCCCCTGAGGCTCGAGGCCGTGGAAATGAACCACGGGACCCACTATGCCCGCTGTGTCCAGGAATCAAAGACTCAAAAGGTCACCTTTCATTTGCCCCTTTCCCAGAAGGGGCCCTTCTGGAGATTTAAGCCCAGTGCCCCACAAACCCTGCTCCAAATCCTGCAGGACCCTGCTATGAAGGACTTTAAGTTCACCTGCCCAGATCTACCCTGGTCCTCTGTGATCCTGGAGCCCCAGTATGTGCTCCAAGCCATCATGCACAGTAAGTTACCTGGGCAGGCGGGAGGGCAGCGGCTGGGAGCCGCACCATTTGGGCATCTCCCTGACCCTGTGCAAGGTCTGCGGGCTCCGGCCTGCTTACCCAGTGTCTGTGGTGGAACAGAGTACAGATTTCCAACAAAATGGGAGATACGGTACAAAAAGAGTTAGGGAAATGGGATAAACACACCCAAGGTCCCCACACTTTACCAAGGTTAGGTTCCATGACAGCCATGGCCACATAGACGCTGCCTCCAAATTGAAAAGCACAATTAATTAATTAATGGGGGGGACAGCAAGGCAGCTCCGAAAATTGTCCCCTGACCTCCATGTTCCCTTTGGCATGTGCACACACACACATGCGAATAATAAAATTATATACATACATACATATACACACATATATATATATATATATATATATATATATATATATATATATATAATTTTTTTTGAGAAGTAGGGTGGGAGAGTAAAATGGCTCAGCAGGTAAAGGTACTGCCACCAGCAAACCCAAGTTTCTCTTCTGGGACCCACATGGTGGAAGAGAGAACTGACTTCTGTTGTCCTCGCCTTCACACTCAAACCATGGCATGAACACACACCTATACGTGTATAGCTGGACACACACACACACGAATGAATATAAAAACAAAAAGCTTAAAAAAAAAAAGTAAAATCAGAAAAGGGGAAAGGGACAGGAGTGGCACATGCCTTAATCCCAGCACTCGGGGAGGCAGAGACAGACGGATCCCTGTGAGTTCGAGGCCAGCCTGGTCTACAGAGTGAGTTCCAGGACAGCCAGGGCTACACAGAGAAACCCTGTTTCAAAAAACAAAAATAAACAAACTAAAAAGGTTGCAGTCTGGGTCAGTGGTAGTGTTTGCTACGCTAGCACTTGATCCCCAACACTTCCAAAAAGAAATAAAACAAAAACATGTTAAATGCAACTTCTCCCCCCCCCCCCCGAGACAGGGCCTCATGTAGCCTGGGCTGCTCTCCAACGCCTGGTCTTCCTGCTGCTACCTCCCAAGTCAAATGCTGGAGCAGATGAATGTGACACCACACCTGGTTTAAGAAAAGACGCCTTTAAAATTAGTTACCCCATTTTTTTAGGAGATGCATATCCATGGCATGAGAGAGTAGGTTTTGTGTTCTTCATGGAGAAGAAAAGGAAAAGGAAATGCCCTCCAGCTCACTCTTGAAAAGGCAAACTTGAGGTCTAGCTGCCTCAAGCATCCCTAACGTGGTCACCTTCTCCATCCTAGTGTCAGCGTTTCCCTCAAACATAGCACATACCCTTCTGCAGTACTATGGCCTCCTCCATGGCCTCCTCAGCACGTTCTTTTGTTTTCTTGTTAATTTATTTTACGTGCTTCGTTGTTTGGCCTGCTTGTGTGTCTGTGTGAGGGAGTCGGAGCCCCTGGAACTGGAGTCACAGACAGTTGTAAGCTGCCGTGTGGGTGCTGGGAATCAAACCCGGGTCATCTCTGGAAGAGCAGCCTGTGCTCATTAACCCCTGAGCCATCTCTCCAGCCCCGTATTTTGTTTTGTTTTGTTTTGTTGAGATAGCATCTCATGCAGCCTGGCTAGCCTTGAACTCCTGACCATTCTGCTTTCCTCTCCCAAGCTCTTGTGTAATGGTGCGCTACCACACCTGGCTCGTGGGTTTTATTTTTATTTTAATATGGAGGAGTTTTTTTTTTAAATTATTTTTATCTAATGGGTGTTTTTGCTGCATGTGTGTCTGCGCATGCCTGGTGCCTGTGGAGGCCAGAAGAGGGCATTCTGGAACTGGGGTTATCATATCAGGTGGCTCTTAAGTTCCTGTAACTCCAGCCCCTGCAAGATCCAACTCCTTGGGCCTCTGTGGTCATGTGCACATACTTTGGTCACATACACACAGTTCACGCTAATGAAAACAAACATAAAATCTAAAATCAACAAATTAAAATTTACAAATAAAAAAATTAAAAAAAAGAAATTGAATAAACGTTGGGCTAAAAATCTAGTGTGGGGCTCGAGAGATGGCTCAGAGGGTAAGAGCACTGGCTGCTCTTCCTAAGTAGTCCTGAGTTCAATTCCCAGCAACCACATGGTGGCTCACAACCATCTATAATGAGATCTGGCGCCCTCTTCTGTCCTGCAGGCACACATGCAGGCAGAATACTGTATAAATAATAAACATAAAAAAAAAATCTAGTGTGGTGGGAAAGGAAAGATGAACCAGGAGTCAGAGCTGGGTGGGGGCCGCCGCTGACTGATGAGTGCAGGCCTCTGAGCTGCCCTTCTCCCTCCAGTGCGCAGCAGCCTTGTCAAGATCCCGTCCACCTTGGAGGTGGAAGTAGAAGATGTCACTGTCTCCTCCCAGCACATCCACGTCATCAAACCGCTGCTGCTGAGCGAGATCCTGGCCCGGGGAGGCCCCTTCCCTCTGTCCACGGAGATCCTGCAGGTTCCTGAAGGCCTACCCATCTTCCTCAGCCCGTGGGTGGGCTCCCTACGCAAAGGCCAGAGGCTCTGCATCTACGGTCCAGCCTCACCCCCCTGGCAAGTGGTGGCCTCAAGCAAGAGCCGGAGGGCACCCAGATACTTCATACTCTCTGGGGCCTACCAGGGCAAGCTCAGGCGGAGGCCACGGGAGTTCCCCACGGCCTATGACCTTTTGGGTGCTCTCCAGCCGGACAGGCCCCTCCGGGTGGTGGCCACAAAAGACTGTGACGGGAATGAAGAGGAAAATGCTGGGTTTTCTTTCCTGGGCGTGGGTGATCGGCTGGAGGTGCTGAGGGCAGGCCAGGTCTGTGGGTCCCAGGGCCAGGACATAGATGTCTTAGTGTGCCAGCGGCTGAGTGAGCAGGTCCAGGAGGAAGAGGAGGAGGAAGAGGAGGTGGTGGAGGACAAAGAAGAGATTCTGCTACCCCTCTACCTCTCGGGTGGCTTTGTGGAGGAGGTGAACGATGGCCGACGCTACAGCCTGGCGGATCTCACTGCGCAGTTCTCCCTGCCCTGTGAGGTTAAGGTGGTGGCCAAGGATCCCCGTCACCTCAGTGACCCTCTGGTCTCCTTCCCCAGCCTGCGGCTGGAGGAGAAGCTCTCAGAACCCTTTTTGGTGGTAGGCCTGGACTCCCAGCCAGAAACGTGCTTTGAGATTCCGCCCCGATGGCTGGACCTGACAGTGATGGAGGTAGAGGGACAGCCGGGCCAGGCGGCCAGGCCGAGTTCTGTCCTAGCAGTGGGGGAGCTGTCAGAGTCCTTTTACTACAGCCTCCGGAAGTTGCCAGCCTCTGCGAGCCAAGCCCCACCACCCAGGCCCCCAAAGAGCCAGGGTCTCTGCGAGCGGAAGCCGTGCACACAGAGTCACATGGAGAACAATGTGAAGGTATGGACGGACGTCATGGGCAGGAGGGGTCACCTTCCAGGCTCACCCTGTGTCCTCCCCTTGCTTTTGGCCATGACCCTCTCTCTCAGTTGCAGCTCATTAAGTTCTACTCTTTGTACACATTATTTGCGCTTGGGCCTCGTGATCTTAAAGTTGGTGTAGTTGCTACCAGTGTCTTACGATTGAGAAAATGAAGGCCGAGACTCTAGCAGGCTCCCGAGGTCAGTTACTAACGGAAGGCTTGAACCTGAGCGTGGACGTTCTGACTCCACCTCTAAGTGGATTGTCATCTGCTCTCACGCAACCTTTTTCAATCCTCCCCCATAGCTCCTAGGAAGGCCTCCTGTCCTCTTGTGTTTTATGCTGCTGTGATAAAAATGAGCCGTAAGCAACCTGAAGGAGGAAGGATTTTAGTTCACAATTCCGGGTTACAATCATTCACTGCAGGGAAGTCACAGACACAGACAGCAGGCCACAGCACCCCAAGGGTGGACAGAGAATCAGGTGCAAGCATGGCACCTGCAGGCTCTCTTACTTTGACTCAGTTCATAGTGCAGCGTGGAGAATGGTGTTGTCCACATGGTTGTCCCATAATGGTTGGCAGCCAAGACGGTCCCCCATAGACCTACCTGATTCACATAATTCCTCATTAAGACTCTCTTCCTAGGTAATCCTATGTTTTCGTCAAGCTGACAGGTAAAGCCAGCCAGCAGAGCCCCCGCATCCTTCTGTGGTCACCTGCTGGACACTGTTAAAGCCTTCAGTGACTCCACGTGGCATCAGGGTCCTTTATGAGTTGACTCCAGTCTGGCTTTCCTGGGCCACCTCCTCCTGTCACTTTGTTATTCCCCACTCCATCCACAGAAACGCTCTGGTTTGGCCTGTTGCAACTTATCAGACCCATGGTCAGCACCACTATCCCTCCTTCAGGCTTGGGGAGATGTGAGGCCCTGACTCCTCGCAGAGCTAGCCTGCTTTTCTTTGTCATCTCATTGCTGTGTCCATGGCTTGGAGACATGTCATTTTCCAGGAGACATGTAGTCTCTCTACCTAAAAACGGAGTTGGGAAGGATATGGGGCTGGGGTGAGCAGAAATTCCACCTCTCCAAGACTGGCGGGCATGGCTGAATGAGCCAAGGGGAATCAGAGATGGGAGAGTGGGGATCCGGGCTCAGGCTTGTAGTGGAAGGCCACTGGTGGTGCTCTTTTTAAAAACTGTACTTTTTTGGGGGTGTTTAGGCCACTACCTCCCTTCTGCCAACAACCCAACCTTTTTTTTTTTTAAACCCAACCTTAAAGTAGGAAAGAGAAAAGGTTAGTGGGGAGAGGGGGCCCAGACCCCTTTACTTTTCCCTCTAGGTAGGGTCAGGGGTTCTTTTAGGGCTCTGTGCCAATCTCTCTCAACAGCAGACGCAGCCCGCAGGCTCTGCCATGCCTCTGTGCCCCGAAGTGTTTCTCTTCATCTGTCTGCTCCAAACTGCCCCGCCTTCTCTGGCCTCTGGTCTCTCCAAACCGCTACACGCCACATCTTTGCTGTTTCTGCTCTCATATTTAGAGTCTCCAGGCCCTAGGCCACGCCCCTCTCTGTGCTGCACGTGGAAGGCCATTACCAGCTGGCAAACGCCACTCTCCTCACAAGACAATTAACATGCGTGGGCAAACTGTAGCCCAACTAAAACCCCACACTTGGGATTTAAACAGAAACATATTTACATACCATAGCTGCCTTTACAAAGAACCCAAAACTTCCACTGCACAGGCTATCCCCCTTTAAGCATCTGTCTGTCTTAGTGCTACAGAGGAGAAGACTTCACCCACAAGCCCCTTCCTTAGCTACTTCTTGTTTGTCCATAGCATGGTAACTCGATGGCTGACCCCCACTACTCTTCATGGCCTCCCCCACATACACATAGGCCCAGGTACACACACACACACACACACACACACACACACACACACACACACACA